GACAAAAACAAAATTTAAAGTCGCTGTACCAAGCCTACAGTGCTGGAGCCATATATATCATCGACCTTTCCTTCACGAATCTGGCTGTCTCTTATCGCTATTGATGGGTGCTTGAGATCGAATACTACAACGTAATAGAACGATGGTTCTACTATCGGGAAGAATACCTACATTTTTGAAGAGCCGTGTATGGTTGATACAATTTGAATTAATGCTTGAATATCATACGTATAGATCGAATGAAAAAACACTTACTAGATCAACGTTACGCATACTGATCAATTCTTTGTCATTGTTCATGCAACATGTGATTTTCTTTCGGAATCTATCATACCTCTGGTTAGAATTCAAATCTTCATCCCTAACAATAGCATCCATCTGCAAAAAAAAAAAACAAAAAAAAAAAAAAACCAAATGCGGTTAATTATAGACTACAATTTATTTATATTGCGGTTACATCGACATTCATTACTATACTGTTACCGAAATGTCCGTTGGTACAAAATAGCGCCTAAGAGACTCATTGCTCCTCATCCTCTCATCTCTGTTAAGCACCATTGACCAGACATCGATAATTTCTGAGCCAACCACGCATTGAGATACAAGGGATTGCATTGTTTGACGTGTTATAGCTTTCCCTTTTGTYGTCATGAAAACCGGCTCTCTACATGTTTAATTCGTTAGGTAGTACCATCCCAAATGACAATAATACATATTTGACCAAAAAATATTACTTAAATAGTAGACAATGTAACTTACAAAATACCGCCTACGCCCCGTAATATCCAATCTTGCAACTTCCTTTCGTCACTACTCACCTCGAACGTTACCGCACGTGTAACGTACGGTGATCGTAGTTTAAAACTTAGTTTTGGATCTCTTTTTGGAATTTCAGATCTAACATTTTTTTGTCCACCTGTTGCTTTCGAACTATCAATACAAGCAATGACAGCGTCCTTTGATGGACTTATTCCCAAATCGAAAGCTGGCGCCTCGATTTCTGCATACGAATAAAATGTCTCGGACGTTGATACACAAATGATAGTATAAAATCTATAAAGTATACGGTCATGCAAATGGTGTTTATTAAATGCTTGTCATTTGTTTGGTATATCACTATGTTGTTCTTATACGACATGTTCATGATTTTTGTGTGAGACCATTTGGTACATATGTGCATCTTTTCTTTGTTGTGTGAACCACTATGATTCGATATGAACACGATATGCACGTGAATTAGCAACGGGGGAGTTTTTTTTATCATGTTTGCAATTATTTAATTTGTGTTCATAAATGGCAAACCTATGAACCAACGTGATCACGATGTTCTTACACAACCTATTAATGAACAATTCATGAAACACTTTGTTATATGCGTCATAAACATGGGAACGAGGTGACGTTACTAACATACTAAAAACAGGCATATCGATTACCTGTCTGTGCACGTCTACGTAGTTTACTTGTACGAGGATCACAATCATCGAAGCCTCTGCTTCGAACCCTACCAACACTCTCCAATGGTGCTTCTAACGATGTCATCTTCACCCTTTCAAACTGCTTCGGGTCTGTGTTACATCCTACTCCTTTTGTTGTGATAGAAGCTCTCTCATTTGACGCCCGGTCAACCTCGGCTATCACGGTCGGGCTTGTCCAGAACTGTGATAAAGGTGATAACATTGCCGGGTCGGATGTGGTCGTCATCTTTGGAGGTGTTACATGAACATGTGGCAATTCTTTTTCTCTAGGGTGACCTTCATCGTTTCGGCACTCCCACATGCTGCCTTTAAACATTCTCGCCAATTCCTTTTTGAATTGGTYGAAACATCTTTCACCGGGAAAACGTTCTATGTAGGCTTGCAACATTGTGTCTGCTTCCCTCCTTGCAGAAAACAAATCTTCGATTCGCTCACCCATCATAATTACACATTCCTGCAAAACCATCCACAATCTGTAAAAGCAGAAAGAACACGTAACAGTGTTGTATATGCAATCTGCATATATAATTAAGTCAAGGTTGTGTGTTTGACGATATCAATCAGACACAATTGTACGTTAAGCACACAACGGGTTGATCAACTTTCACATTCAATTGAATGAAACTCGAATTGTGAGTTTTTACACATCATGTGAACACACATTTACACAACCATATACGCCCCACCGGATTAACGGAACAACTATTAACTTGTGTTCATAAATTGGCCATAAACACCATAATAACAAATAAGGAATTATTATGTACAAAGGAGAAAGAACATTGAATGAGATCATTGAAGTAACCTCTTTTGTAACATTCTGATTTCCTGCTTCTTTGGCTTTGCTAGACTCAGGTATATCCACTGCTGTGTGATGATCTATAATTGATTGATCGTACGAACCTCGCTCAATGGGTTTAGAACATTTCAATTTTGCGTATCCAAAACCCCCTCTGCTAAGCTCCAAGTCTTGTTTTCTCCTCAGTAACTCCAATGTCCAAGTTCTCAATGGATATGCTTGCAGTTGRTTCTGAATGCCGTCACATGTTGTTGCTTGAACATATAACATCTGCATAAAGTAAACATAGCGGTTGATTAAATAGTAACAAAAAAAAGTTGATTTATATATTGTCATGAAACAATGTTCTTACAGTTAAACAGGTCAGGGGTCCTGCGTAAAATGACAAGAAACTGTCTCTTTTCCAACACATCTTGCTCGTGCCTATGCAATCATATACGTATTTGCACCAGTCAATTCTTGGGATCATGTCTAAGCTATCAATGCGTTTGAGGA